AGTGTTTTTTCACAGTCTGTCCTTCAAATATATAATTGCACCACAAATATAGTTAACTGCTTTAACCAAATGTCCATTTTATTATCTTTAGAGCCGAAACCACAACAATACACAAACAAATCACTAAAGAAAAATGAAATGATTAGTACATTTTGAACACTAACTGAAGGATGTGGATTTTCCACAATTCCGTGAAAACCAAAATTATAAATCACTTTCAAAGTTTATTTAGAATGCACATTCTTTTGAAACTTAATAAGGTACCTATTTACGCAGCAATATTCAGTGATGTAGGAAAATGTGCTTCCTTCTTTGTGCTTTAACACAACCATTTTTTTTGAAGAAGAAGAAGAACAGCGAATATACGATAGGCCTTCATACCACGATAAATTGCAACCTCTATTCGCAAACTCCGTGTTATAGGATTGCTTTAAAATGTTAAAAATATATATACAAGATGTAAACTAATACGCCTTTTATATATAATTCTGGAGATAGCATTTCTCTCCGGCGCCCGGTGTTCTGCAACCTATTAGCATCATTTCGTCCATCGAGGTCCATTAATTACATTTGAATGAAAACTTGCGCGGAAGAATAAGATTTTGGAGAGGCCTACCAGATACTTGCTCCTCTTGGGAGGACCTTTAACCTTCTTAACGGTGGGTATGCAGTACTTAAAGGCTGCTTTTTTACTACAACTGGGAAGCTAGGACGTGCACCCTGCCTGCTTATAGTACAAAATGGTCGACATAAGCGAAGTGGCAATTGCTTCATGTGTAGAAGGATTCTTAGATTACTGTATGCTAATTAAAGAACGAGTTACAAAATTTGGTAATAGCAATCTTTTATTTCGAAATATTATACATATTAAAACTGCCTTACTTTAATTGAAGCTCGTGTCTGCGCATGGCATCTATTTTATATGTTAGATATGCATAACTTAAGCGGATAAACAATAATATTTCCTGACTATTTTAAGATCATTTTTATTTGAAATAAAATCAAAATGACTGAAAATGTCATTTCATTTTATGTTGCTTCTAGACAGCGCGTTATACAAGACAACGGATTATAAAGATATGAGATGTGTTTTGAAGGCTGGGGACGAGATTCGTACTTGTTATATATATCAAGGACTTGTGAATATTCAAATAACATTTTGAAAGACAGAAAGGCAACTAAAGAATCTCTTTGGAGCCTATACATGTTATTTTATTTAAATACAAAATAATGAACAATAAAAAAGAATTATTTGAGTAAGAACGCTTTAAAAATTAGTTTTTTTTATGTATAGGTATTCAATTTAGCTATATGAAGCTTAAAATATCAACATGTAGACTGCTTAATATTACTTTATAGCCTATGTTACATGAATGTAAACGCCTTAGGTAGATATGCTGCTAATAGTTTGTGTAAGCGCTATCTGTAAATGGTAGGCCCTGTTGCACCTGTATCGGGTTTGTGTTGCACCTATAGACACTTATAGGAAAAACATGTAAGATCGCCCATGCAGGAGCATCCTTGCTGTCATTTATTATGGATTTTTGAATTTTGTGAGTCATTATAAGCAACGATAACACAGTGTTTTAAGCCTATGCATCTACTGCACAGTTTCCTTAGATGAAAAAGCAAATATCGCGGTATTGTCTAGTTATTTTTGCATTTGCGTTTTATGATATATGCGCCTCAGAGCGTGTTGTAGACGTATTCAACGAGTCATAGTCTTGCTGTTAAAGCTGTAACAAAGGTAATACGAAATCTGATATGCCGATCTTAATTAACATAATTGTCCTCTAAATTAATTAAAGAAATAGTCGCGGGTTGTGGAGTATCATGATTCAATGTATCTTGACTCCTCATTTTAATACATTTACCCAGGAGGAAACTATAGGCTGTGGCATGTGCAACATCAGCACTATAATTGAAATAAATACTCAAACTTGATTTTTGATGACTTGTGGATCTGTGGATGTTTTATTTACACAAAGGATTTGAAACACTGCACCTTGTTGACCCGATTTTTTTTTTTTTTTTTTTTTTTTTGCCGCAGCAGCTAGACCATAGTTTGCTCGTGAGGTTAGGATTTTTTCTTTTTCTATATACTCGTAACATATTTTGATGTGTTTTATATTGCATTTTAAATTGTGCGTTATTGAATGTGATGCCAATACACAATATTAGTACCACTCCGAGCCCTTGTGCATATACCGCAAAGTAGACATTAACTTATTCTCGACACTTTGTTTCACAGTCGGTTCTGTGAGATAATGGGTCAGGACCTCAGCTCTTACTCCAAGCTCTCTTTCCCTTCACTGACCCTTGATCCATCAGGCACTCCAGTGGACGCATGTGTTTGCCCATTCACTCCAAGACTTAGGCTATATGTATGCTCTGCTTTAAATGAGGATAGTTGTTTAAGAAAGGCAACGAATTGCAAACCAAACGTGAATTAAAATAAACTGCAGATTAAAAACAACGTTCAAAGGAATACTACAGGCCATGCCTTTTATTTTGATGGCAACCCAATTACCAACAGCTGTTTTCACGCATTAAAGGAGAAGGGCCATATGTGACAGCTAACTCGCAGCTAAGTCAAACACAAACAAAACTGCACAGAAATGTCCTAAGAATTCTCGACTTAGACTTTTCACTGTTACATGTTACCTCCAAGTCTCACACAGAAACATAAACATGCTTAGAAATGCGTAATTAGTTTGACTGAAACTGAATTCAGTTCATTCTTAGTTAAAGCATGTTCAAAGAAAACTAAGCACGGTAATATTTGTATTTTATTAATGAACTAGTTGTTCGCACATTCACCGATTAATTCAGTTGAATGGGAATACATTTTATTCAAGCAAAAAGACATGCGTCAGAATAATTTATAATATAGGCCTACTGAATCATTTTAAAGTGTATATATATATATATATATATATATATGGATTGGAAAATCCACCTCTAAAGCAACACATAAGCACTCTTAATCATTTTTCAGTTTCAGCTTTAGTAACTAGTGTAACTCATTCATTAGCCACTGTTAGTTTATTTTTTAAATTTTTTTATATAATCTTATTATTTTCCCGGGAGTAACATTGCACCCACCAACACGCAGACACACATATACGCACATACGTATTTGAAGAGAAATTCTGCGAGTTCCTAAACTTACATGGACATTAATACAGAACAATCCATCTAAACTAAACTCGGCAAACACGCTGCCTCCAATGCAACGAGATTCATTTCCCACAGCAACCTGTTTCAGTACCTGAGCAAATGTTGTCCAGTATATCCCAGTCCCATCTCTGATGATAGATTTTTCATGTGTTCCTTCCGCATTGAAGTATAGCCTACAGACAAAACATTTTTTAGTTTTTCTTGAGTGACTTGGTGCTAAGCGGTCACCCATCCAGTGGTTTCTCCAGCATCAGAGTGAGGCGGTTGCTTGGCCCTCGGTCATGCTCTCTGCCTTAATATTCCACAAGGTTGAGTGGCCCTCATTTACCTAATGGATCAGGCGCACAAAACCTTAGACGAGTTTCTCGCTCTGAGTCACAAGACAAACTATATGTGATGCTTCGAACTGGATGGCCTCAGAATGATCCCAAATTAAACATATCGATAATTAAACACTTAAACATGATTTGCTGAACGTTTAGTAGTCAGAAGAGAACGTTGGATGCTACTGTTTGTTTTGTGTTGCAAGTTTACGAAAAGAGTAGAAATGTGTAGTGTTACTAAACGAAATGTCACCTTACATAGGCTACTTGTACAGTATAGCCAAACGTGTGAGACCAGCATCCACCCACGTGGTCGAATTAGACGGAGGTGTGTTCAACATGACTGATGGATGCAGGCATGTAAATGTTTCTTGTTCCTAAACTTGTAGTTTTAAAACTTCATGAGCGTACATGCTTGGCTTATCCATGTTTTCCTGCAGCATTTAAAATTAGTCTTATTTTTAGAGCCTTTTTTTTACATTTATATGAAGTGCCAAAATTGGGCCACGCAAAATGTGCCCCACACTATTTTTTGTTTTTAAACTGCATAAAATGTGAACTGTAATTATTAATATCCATAGGCCTGCTCACATCCGTGAGGTTATTGACCCATAAAGAATTTGAAACAGATCGGATGAATTAAACAGGTTAAATGAGCTTTATTGTATTTATTATAAAAATTTTTGCTGAGGATATACCGAACGTTTTAAAACATAAATGTTAATTTTGACAATTTACGTTCTTCATAAGCTTATACGATTAACATACGTTTTACCTCAATGTCGATTTCCAGGTTTATATCTATTACAAACTCTTTTTGTTTTAGAAACTGTTTTTAAAAAATGTAGCTGTACTTCTGATGTCGATTTTCTGTGGACATTTTTTTTTTTACTATGATCTTATTTGGGAGAGACCCTTAGCGCTGCTTAAGACGCATAAATTAGGTCATAGACTGGAGGGGGTCTTCATTGTGCCACTCTGACAGTGCGCACTGGCGCTTATGACTCGGAGTGCTCTCAAAGTTGGAAAAAGTATGGAATTCCCTATTGACGCAGATTAACAGCGCCTAAAAAAAAGAAGAAGAAAAGGTAGACTTCAGACAGACTGACAACGTCGGCTCAATTCGATTTGAGGACGATGTCAGACTCGTGAATTGTAGCTACGGCAAAAAAAAGGGTAAATATGACCATTACAAATGTTCAGTCGGCATGATGATAAATGTAATGTGAAACTAACAACATTTTTTCTCAATTATCTTGCTGAGATGTCAATGACTATTGTTTGCTGGTGTAGGGAGTCGCTCCGCCCCTCATGTTTGTCGTAAATTTGGCGCCTGGCTACAATAAACCTGAGATAAGAGTGGCCAGGGCTCGCCTCCTTCTCCAAGGCGATCAATCGGATCTCCGGCATACTACAAGCACTCTCTTACGTCGACGTCCACGAGAACAGAGCTGATACAACAACACGGCTGCGCTCCACCACCACATATCTATCTGCTTTTACTGAACCATGTCGCTGAGCCCAAAGCACACGACACCTTTCTCAGTGACAGATATTTTGAGCCCAATTGAGGAGACTTACAAGAAGTTTAGTGGCATGGAGAGCACTGGAAACCTCACATCTCCATTGGGAGCGTACCGGCAACATCAGGTGTCCCAGACTGGCATGCAGCAACACTCTATGAGCCACAACGCCACTGTGGCGACCACCTACCATATGCCACACTCCGTCTCCCAGTTCTCGCACAATGCAATGGGGGGCTACTGCAATGGCAGCATTGCCAACATGGGGGACCTACCCTCTTACCAAGAAACTATGAGAAACAGCGCAGCAGCAACAGGGTGGTACGGCGCCAATCCTGACCCTAGATACTCAACAAGTAAGTTCTCTTGCATTCTTTTGATTTATCTCTCGCCGCGTTGCTCGTTGCATGCATGTGCTACTTATTTACTGAGTTTCCAGCGAGTTTTCGTTAGTTTTACGCATCAGCACTATTGCTCATACTTTGCCTTCATAGCATTGTCGCTGTTATTGTTACTGCTGATTTTCCCATCGTGTAGATTTAAGTTAATTATAACTGAAACATTTATATTCGTTCATTTGTGCACGCGTAAATGCTGCACTGAGCGTTTCAAAACTCTTATTGCTGCACAAATGATTAACAATTTAGCCCAACACTGCTACTAATTGAATGGCCGTACGTCTGTATGCATATTTTGAAGTTTCTAGATTCATGGGACCTTCCACAGGTATGAACATGACAGGAATGGGCACGCTGACAGGCATGGCCGACACCACCAAATCCATCCCACCTCTCCACGCAGCGCCAAGGAGGAAACGACGGGTGCTCTTCTCTCAAGCACAGGTCTACGAGCTGGAAAGGAGATTTAAGCAACAGAAATACCTCTCAGCGCCCGAGAGGGAACACCTGGCTAGCATGATACATCTAACCCCGACGCAGGTCAAGAACAGAAATACATCTCAGCGCCCGAGAGGGAACACCTGGCTAGCATGATACATCTAACCCCGACGCAGGTCAAGATCTGGTTTCAGAATCATCGCTACAAGATGAAACGGCAGGCCAAGGACAAAGTAGCGCAGCAGCTTCAACAGGAGGGCAACCTGTGTCAACAGCAGCAGTCGCCGAGGAGAGTGGCTGTCCCTGTCTTAGTGAAGGATGGCAAGCCTTGTCAAAACGGCTCCAACACACCGACGCCAAACCAACAGCAGATGCAGCAGCAGCAGCAGAACGGTTCTGGGATCGTGCTTCCTACCTCCAGTAACTCTATGAACCAACACCAAACCCAGCAGGTCAACGCACTGGTCCAGGCCCAAGACCTGGAGGAAATGTCCCCCAGTCCCCCCTCACTCCACTCGCAGATGAACAACATGGGCCAGATAGACACTACTGTAGATTACACAAATAACATGGTCACGTCAAATCTGCTTTATGGCAGAACGTGGTAAGACCGGGCACCTTTTCTTTCCTCCGTTTTCCCACAAACTTTAGCGTCATCTGAACTAAGAACTGCGAGCGAGGCCAAAAGCAGACAGTGCTTCGCAAGCCGAGCATCCGTGTGGCGGGTGGTCGGATCAAAGGAGCCAGTTTTTGCCGGAAATTTGCCACTTTTTTTTCTAAAAAACAGTTTTTGTGGTCACAGTTTTCTACAATGACCCTGCTACTCATTATGGACAAAATAACAATTTCTAGCCTCACGCTCTATGTTTGGGACCTCCTCTTGTTGTTCTAGTAGAAGGTTGTCTGATGTTGAACAAAATTGCTGCTCCACATCTATGGCAATGCCAGGACACGGGAAGCAATGTTTCATATTCCAGGTATGAACTTCTAGCAAGAACTGGAAACTGGAAAAGTTCCCAGATCTCAATAAATGCCTGAACATTTAGAGAAATGAAAAGTAGGCACTGTATATTTGGCTAACACTTAAGTTTTTGTTTACTTGTAATATAAATGTTTGAGTCTTTTCGTTGGTCATTTATTCTATTCTTTTTTTTTTCCGGTAAATTAAAACAAAGACACAAAGACGATTGCTGCTGTATATGTTTCAAACCAATTGAACGTTAACAATAAATCAATTAAACCGCTCGCCATTGTTGGGGAATTAATGTGTGTAGAGTAATTTCTGTGAAGAGTGTTTTTATTCAATTAATATCTGATAATACATTTATTATTAAAAAGTCGATGGAAGGAAACCTTTCACTGATTTTAAGAGGAAGAAACCTTTATTTACATACAAACAATGTTTAATGTCTGCCCTTTACTTCTTAATTGGCGTTAATTTAGTTAATTATTTACTTGAATTTGTTACAAATTCAGCTACCTCTCCTAATTTAAATATTTCGGAAACCTACCTTACACAGACGTTAATAATAATATTAATATTAATAATAATAATGTGCCACCCATTTATGACTTTAGGGTCTATCAATTTATATTACGCAGAAGAGAGAACGATATTTTTTTGGTTATCTGTTGGCTCATTTCAGAGGCTTGTCTGTTTGTTCCGATCCAAAGAATACATATGTATAGTTTACATCACGAAAATAAAACTGCATACATGTTCAGAATTCTATATTATCTATGGTGTTGTATACTATTTGAAATTACCTGGTAATTAAAGGACACAAGTTTAGCATAAATTTAGACTTTTAATAAATAGATTATTTTCATTTTGTAACAAGCTCTAAAAAATGTTATTCTATTTTTAATTGTTTTATTTTTTTTGCATTTTTAAATTCAATACCGTGGACTTCAATAATAGATTGTAGATTGGGAATTAAAGTTAATGCGAATATAGTTCGAAATTGTGTAATAACGTATCTTGTAAAAAAAAAAAAATTGCGCTGCAAGCGAGTTAAGCAGAATATGGCCATTTAATTGTAAATATAAAAATCAGAATGCGAGTCTAAAAACACTGACCTAGTAGCATAATGCATTATGCGTATCACATTACCTGGAATACATGAACTGATCCAAAAAGTCTCAGAACTATCGGACAATCATTGAAGCACGTCACATAAAAGAACAAATAAAATAAGAGTAACCTTTTTTTTCTGTAAGAGCTATGAGTGCTCCAAAGTTAGTGATTCAGTGACAAGCCCTGAAATTTAAATCAAGACTGTTTTTAAAATTTTCGTTTAACGTTTTTATTTTAATGTTATTTTCTATGGAGTTATTTACTATGCTTAATTAAAAGCGATCCAAAGGAAGACAAAGCAATGCCAGTCGACATGATTCATATTCACATCAACTCAAACGACACAGACTGAATGTAATGTGAATGATGTTCTGTTTAAATGAATATCTCCTGTCCAAATGGCGCAAGAGGGAAGAGAACACTTTTCAAAGTTATAATAACCTCCACCAACCCAACGGCAGAGCCTTTTTTTTTTTTTTAATTATATACTCCAAAAAGGCACACAACTTTAAGGCTAATGAAGAATCTGTAAATGATTTATTATGTATATCTGGCATGATAAACACTAATAATAATAATTAAAAAAAGCAGGGTTAAGTACATAAACACCTTCCACATGGATATTGCTCCTGACTGAAAGGAAAATTAAGCAAACAATTTGTTTGTCATTATGAAATGGCTATGACTTGGTAATAGTTTGGCCAAAGTGTTTCAAAGCCTGTGTAAACTTGATCTGATTATGATACTATTTTACTCAGCGTTTGGAAGACGGAATGCATTTGTAAATTGCATCCAAATAATATGGTGTTGGAGGCAGAGGCAGGATTTAAATGATCGACTATCATCTACATTCTGGCAGTGTCTGATGCTGAGTCTTCAAGCTCTCTACAGTGCAGCAGTCACAATATCAGACAGAACACTTGGTTTTTGATATTTGGATTAATATAAAAACAGAATTGTGCGTACATTTCAGAAGGTTTCAACAAAGAAGTAGTTGTGGTGATGAAAAAAAAGCTGTATTTGAAATGCAAATGATACCAACAATTCTGTGAATATGATAATAATATAATAGGAACAAAATGTTATAATATACTGACAGTGGGGGGGGG